CTCCCCTCCCCTCCCCTCTTCTCTCCTCAGCCCTCCCCTCCCCTCTCCTTTCCTTGTTCCTTGCTGCTTTCCTTTTCTTTCCCTTTCCTTTCTCTCTCTCCTCCCCAGGCACCCTTCCTCCCTCCTTTCTTCTTTCCTTTTCTTTGATTTGCTTTCTTTACAGCATCTTGCTCTGTCCCCCACTCTGCACTGCAGTGGTGCCGTCACAGCTCAGTGGAGCCTCGAACTCCTGGCTTCCAGTGATCCTCCTGCCTCAGCCTCCTGAGTACCTGGCACTACAGGCATGCACCACCACACCTGGCTAATATTGTGAAAAATTTTTGCAGAGATGCTATGTCGGTCTCCCTCTGCTGCTCAGGCTGGTTTTGAACTCCTGGCCTCCAGCAATCGTCCCGCCTCTGCCTCCCAAAATGCTGGGTTTACAGGCACGAACCACCAGGCCCAAGCTCCTGTTTTCTTACTTTCTCGCCCTACATTTGATTAGCAGATCCCTTTGGCTATACCTAGAAAATGCATCTCAAATCTAGCCACTTCTTACCCTGCTGCCCTGGTGGAAGGAAAACCCCATCCCTGGTCTTCTCTTACCATCTCCGCCTACCCTGCTCTGTTTTTCTCTATAGCCTCATCACCGCCCAATCCATCACATACTTCTTTGCTTGTTGTTACCTGTCTTCAGCCACTACATGTAAACTCCTGGAATCCCGGGGCAGCCTGTTTCTTCACTGCTTTATCTTTAGCACCCAGCCCATTTGGCAAATATTTGTTGAGTGAACGTCTTATGGACACAAGAGAGCTCATTACATGTGCATTTCAGGAAGGCTTGGAACGGGGCCGGGTGGTTCATGCCTGTCATCCCAGCACTCTGGGAGGCTGAGGCAGGAGGATTGCTTGAGGCCAGGTGTTTGAGACCAGCCTGGGCAACACAGCAAGACCCCATCTCTACAAAAAAAAAAAAAGAAAGAAAGAAAACGTTATTCAAGTGTGATGGTGCATGCCTGTGGTCCCGGCTACCCAGGTGTCTGAGGTGGGAGGTCCACTTGAGCCCAGGAGTTTGAGGCTGCAGTGAGCCATGCGTGCTCCACTGTACTCCAGAGTGAGACCCTACCTCTGAATATAAAATATAACATGAAATAAAATAGTATATTAATAAAAGTCTCAAGCTATCCAGGCAGATCCTTTAGAAAAGAGAACGTCCACCCTCTTGGGCTGTCTCTTGAGCCCTTTGGCTCTGCCCTGTAGATCCGCAAGTCACATGGGTGCTGGCTTCCGTCCACAGGGAAGTCCCATCTGCGCAGAGCCCTGACGCATCATGAGGAGTCGGTGCGGGAGGCCAGCCTGTGCAAGAAGCTGCGGAGCATCGAGGTGCTCCAGAAAGTGCTGTCCGCGGCACAGGAACGCTCTCGGCTCACGCACACCCAGCACCGGGAGGACGATGACCTGCTGAACCTGATCGATGCCCCTGATGTTGTGGGTGAGTAAGCTAGACTGTGTGCCCAGCGTGGGGGTGCCTGTGCCGCAGACAGAGCATGCCTGGCCTGTGGGGGTCGGGCAAGCCCTTGCTGCGTGCTGGGCACTGGGAGGGCTGCACAGGCAGGGACCAAGGTGCTGCTTTTACCCTGGAATTCTCTCTCTTTTTTTTTTTTTTTGAGATGGAGTCTCGCCCTGTTGCCCATGCTGGAGTGCAGTGGCGCAATCTCAGCTCACTGCAACCTGTTTCCCAGGTTCAAGTGATTCTCCTGCCTCAGCCTCCCGAGTAGTTGGGATCACGGGCGCCCTCAACGACTCCCACCTATTTTTTTGTATTTTTAGTAGAGATGGGGTTTCACCATGTTGGCCATGCTGGTCTTGAACTCCTGACCTCAAGTGATCCACCAGACTTGGCCTCCCAAAGTGCTGGGATTACCGGTGTGAGCCACCACACCTGGCCTAGATATTCTTTTTATGCAGTTGTTGTCACGTGTAATCAGCCTGTCTTGGGATCCTTTGTTAGAAACTGACCAGACTTATGTTAAGGGTAGTCCAAGCCTGCTGTGAAGATGCTGGTGGGGATATGGAGCTGTCAGTGGTCATGATTTGGCAAAACCCCTTTTCACTAGGAAATTCTCATATCACACATTAATAATGAAAAGGTCAAGCACAGTGGCTCAAACCTGTAATCCCAGCACGTTAGTTAGGAGGCTGAGGCAGGAGGATCACTTGAGCTCAGGCGTTTAAGACCAGCCTGGGCAACATAGTGAGACCCCATCGCTACAAAACATATTTTCTTAAAATTTAGCCAGGTCTGGTGGCATGCACCTATAGTCCCAGCTACTCAGGAGGCTGAGGCAGGAGGATCACTTGAGCCCTGGAGGTCAAGCTGCAAGAGAGCTGTGATTGCACCGCTGCACTCCAGCTTGGGCGAGAGAGCAATACCCTGTCTCAAAGTAATGATGATGAAAACAGACAGCACAGTATCTCAGAACTGTGTCCTGTGAGGCATGAAGCTTCCATGACAGCTCCTGAACACCTGAAACATAGACGACTTCTCACTAGGGTGTTTTTTTCTTTTTTTGAGAAGTTGTTTCACCCTTGTCGCCTAGGCGCTGGCGTGCAATGGTGTGATCTTGGCTCACTGCAACCTCCACCTCCTGGGTTCAAGCCTCAGCATCCCGAGTAGCTGGGACTATAGGCACGCACCACCGTGCCCGGCTAATGTTTATATTTTTAATGGAGATGGGGTTTCATCATGTTGGCCAGGCTGGTCTCGAACATCTGACTTTAGGTGATCCGCCCACCTTGGCCTCTCAAAGCTGGGATTACAAGTGTGAGCCACCACACCTGGTCTCCTCATAGGGTTTTATGAGTGCCAAAGAAGCCCACTAAGCCCCTGAGGTATCAGGAAGCCCCGTAAGTGGGGGACGTGTCTGGTTATCGCTCCTTGGTCCCAGCTTAGGAATGAGTTATACCTCCTGTGGCTCACAGGAGGTACCCAAATGGAAGGTAGAGTTCACCGGGGGTCGGGGGTTAAGCTGTGTTCCATCTTCTTGAACTACTGTCTCAACCCGAGGGAAAGGACCTGTGACTGAGAGGCAGTGCCGTACCGTCTCCTTCCCAGGGATTTTTTTTTTTTTTTTTTTTTTTTTTTTTGAGATGGGGTCTTACTCTGTCACCCAGCCTGGAGTGTAGTGCATGACTTCAACTCACTGCAACCTCCGCCTCCTGGGTTCAAGCGATTCTCCTGCCTCAGCCTCCTGAATTGCTGGGATTACAGGAACCTGCCACCACACCTGGCTACTTTTTGTATTTTTAGTAGAGACGGGGTTTCACCATGTTGGCCAGGCTCGTCTTGAACTTCTGGCCTCAAGTGATCCACCTGCCTCAGCCACCCAAAGTGCTGTGATTACAGGCATGAGCCACAACACCAGCCTTTAAGGATCACCTTCAATGACAGAAACGTTTATCCTCCCATTTATAATCTTTTCTAGCTAAAACTGAGCAAGAGGTTGAAATTATATTGCCCCAGTTCTCCAAGCTGATAGTCACGGACTTCTTCCAAAAGCTGGTATGTTGAATGCTCTTTACATAAATGACCTAAGGGGACAGCTCTTCAATTTGGCGAGTGGTGTCTTAGTTCATGTGGGCCGCTATAACAAAATGCCTTGAACTGGGTGGCTTTGAACAGCAGAAATATATTTGTCACAGTTCTGGAGGCTGGGAATTCCAAGACCAAGGTATGGGCAGATTCAGTATCTGGTAAAGGCTCATGTTGTCGTTTATAGGTGGGGCCTTCTACCTGCGTCTGTTTCCTCATGGCAGAAAAGGCAGATGAGTTCCCTTGGGCCTGTTTTAAAAGCATGTATCCAATTCTTCTATTTTTTTTTTGAGACGGAGTTTTGCTCATGTTGCCCAGGCTGGAGCACAATGGTGCAGTCTCCTCTGCCTCCCAGATTCAAGCAATTCTCCTGCCTCAGCCTCCGGAATAGCTGAGATTACAGGCATGCGCCACTACGCCTGGCTAATTTTGTCTTTTTAGTAGAGATGGGGTTTCTCCATCTTGGTCAGGCTGGTCTTGAATTCCCAACCTCAGGTAATCCACCTGCCTTACCTCTCAAAGTGCTGGGATTACAGGTGTGAGCCACCACGCCCGGCCACGTGTATCCCATTCTTGAGGTTTCTGCCCCAAGACTGAATCACCTCTCAAGAGGCCCCACTTCCTAATAATTACATTGATGATGAGGTTTCAATATACAGATTTCGAGAGGGTACAAACATTCAGACCATCGCATATTTTATTTTATTCGTTTATATTTATTTTTTGAGACAGTCTTGCTCTGTTGCCCAAGCTGGAGTGCAGTGGCACGATCTCGGCTCACTGCAGCCTCTGTCTTGCAGGTTCAAGTGATTCTCCAGCCTTAGCATCCCAAGTAGCTGGGATTACAGGCATGTGCTACTACGATCAGCTAATTTTGTATTTTTAGCAGAGATGAGGTTTCACCATGTTGGCCAGGCTGGTCTTAAACTCCTGGCCTCCAGTGATCTGCCCACCTCAGCCTCCCAAAGTCCTGGGATTACAGGCCAGAGCCATTGTGCCTTGTACCACAGCGTATCTTAGAAGTAAATTTTAGGTAGTGTTTAAAAAAAAAATTTTTTTTTTTTTTTTTTTGAGACGGAGTTTTGCTCTTGTTACCCAGGCTGGAGCGCAATGGCGCAATCTTGGCTCACCGCAACCTCCGCCTGCTGGGTTCAAGCAATTCTCCTACCTCTGCCTCCTGAGTAGCTGGGATTACAGGTTCACGCCACCATGCCCAGCTAATTTTTTGTATTTTTAGTAGAGACAGGGTTTCACCACGTTGACCAGGATGGTCTTGATCTCTTGACCTCGTGATCCACCCGCCTTGGCCTCCCAAAGTGCTGGGATTACAGGCACGAGCCACTGCGCCCGGCACAAAAAATTTTTTTATATTTTAAAATATTTTTAGAGCCGGGCGCGGTGGCTCAAGCCTGTAATCCCAGCACTTTGCACTCCAGCCTGTGTAACAAGAGTGAAACTCCGTTTCAAAAAAAAAAAAATTTTTTTTAGAGACATAGTCTCACTCTGTCACCCAGGCTAGAGTACAGTGGCATGATCATAGCTCACTGCAGCCTCAACCTTCCAGGCTCAAGAAGTCCTCCTGCCTCAGCAGCCTGAGTAGATGGAACTAAAGGCATGTGCCACCATGCCTGGCTAATTTTTTTATTTTTTAGTAGAGAATGGGTCTCGCTATGTTGCCCAGGCTGGTCTCAAACCCCTGGCCTCAAGTGATCTTTCTGCCTTGGCTACCCAAAGTGCTTAGGATTACAGGCATGACATGCTTGGCGTTAAATTTTTTATGTTAGAGATTTTATTTAAGATAATTTTGGCCGGGTGCGGTGGCTCACGCCTGTAATCCCAGCACTTTGGGAGGCTGAGGTGGGTGGATCACCTGAGATCAGGAGTTTGAGACCAGCCTTGCCAAAATGGTGAAACCCCATCTCTGCTAAAAATACAAAAATTACAGGTTCGCACCTGTAATTCCAGCTGGTTGGGAAGCTGAGGCAGGATAATTGCTTGAACCTGGAAGGCAGAGGCTGCAGTGAGCTGAGATCACGCCACTGCACTCCAGCCTGGACGACAGAGTGAGACAGCGTCTCTAAAAATAAAAAAGTTAATTTTATTTAAAATATATTGGTTATGTTTGAGAAGATGGCATTCCCTGTTGTCGCGTGACTGCTGTAGCATCTTACCCAGATGTGTCATTTGTCCCTAACCAAGGCCAAGTGAGCTCTTCAAGGACAGCAGGCAAAATTCCCTTTAGCTTTCAAGTGTCTGATCCAGCCTTCAAATCCTACACCTAACGATGCTGTCTTCCAAAGGGCCCCTTATCTGTGTTTTCGGCTAATAAGCGGTGGACGCCTCCTCGAAGCATCCGCTTCACTGCAGAAGAAGGGGACTTGGGGTTCACCTTGAGAGGGAACGCCCCCGTTCAGGTTCACTTCCTGGATCCTTACTGCTCTGCTGCGGTAAGCACATGCTTTTCTGGGTCGAGAGCAAACATAGATATCTGGGTGATTGAATTTAGGGTGGGTTCGCCCATGTCAAAGGCCTGACTTTATGTGAAAGGCCTCATGGGTGCTACATTCCCAAAACCAAAAGGATTGATTTTTGCTGTCGTTTTTTTTTTTTTGAGATGTTGGGAGGTGGAGGCTGCAGTGAGTCACTATCGTGCAGTGGTGCTATCTTGGGGCTCACTGCAGCCTCTGCCTCCTGGGTTCAAGTAATTCTCCTGTCCCAGCCTCCTGAGTAGCCAGGATTATAGGCGCGTGCCACCATACTCAGCTAATTTTTTGTATTTTTAAATAGAGACAGAGTTTTGCCATGTTGACCAGACTGGTCTCGAACTCCTGGCCTCAAGTAATCCATCTGCCTTGGCCTCCCAGAGTGCTAGGATTACAGGTGTAAGCCACTGTACGCAGCCAATTTTTGCCCTTTTTTTTTTTTTTTTTGTACCCAGGCTGGAGTGCAGTGGTATGATCTCGGCTCACTGCAGTGTCTGCCTCCCAGGTTCAAGCAACTCTCCTGCCTCCGCCTCCCAAGTAGCTGGGATTACAGGTGCCCCCCACCACGCTGAGCTAATTTTTGTATTTTTAGTAGAGGCGGGATCCATCATGTTGGCCAGGCTGGTCTCGAACTCCTGACCTCAAGTGATCTGCCCCTCCCCCCCGCCCTATCTTGGCCACCCAAAGTGAATTTTTGCTTTCTTGATGCAAATTTACCTATTTTGTGAATGGGGACTGATTGAAGGATTTGAGGAACTAAACACTGACTTATTTTCAACAATACTTTTGCAGGTGGCAGGAGCCCGGGAAGGAGATTATATTGTCTCCATTCAACTTGTGGATTGCAAGTGGCTGACGGTGAGCGAGGTTATGAAGCTGCTGAAGAGCTTTGGTGAGAATGAGATTCAGATGGAAGTCGTGAGCCTCCTGGACTCCACATCGTCCATGGTGAGCACGGATACCTCCCTGGGCAGTCAGTAGTGGTATGGAGTGAAATCTGCATGAGTTCAGCCCCACAGGTGTTTACCAGGCCCTCTGTCTCCTGCCTGTGTAACACAGTACAAACGACTGGACTCCCAAGCTTGTAATCACTGGAATGTGCTCACCTTGGGTCAAAGAGAAAATTGGCAAACTTTTTTTTTTTTTTTTCCAAAGACAGGGAAAGCTGGTTTGCTGTGGTGTGATCATGGCTCACTGCAGTCTCTGCCTCCTGGGTTCAAGTGATCCTTCCACCTCAGCCTCATGAGTAGCTGGAATTACAGGCACCCACCACCACCCCTAGCTAATTCTTTATCTTTTGGAGAGACAGGTTCTTGCTGTTGCCAAGGCTGGTCTCGAACTGCTGGGCTCAAACCATCCTCCCTCCTCAGCCTCCCAAGGTGCTGGGATGACAGGCATGAGCCACGGCACCTGGCTAGCAAACTTTTAAAAATAGCCTGTAGATAAAATAATCAACTGATCTATTTTTTTGATCAAATTGTTTAATTACAAAAGTAATACATACTTACGGTAAAAAAAAAAAAAAAATTCCAATAATTCAGAAGAGCTTAAGACAACCTGTGAAAGTCCCTCTCTGTGCCCCAGAAACAGTATCAGCCATGTTCTGGGAGATTTGGGAAGCATTGGAGTCTCTTCAAGTTCACCTGCACAGGTATCGCCTTTAATTTTCCCCAAGTAAGGCCGGGCAGGGTGCTCATGCCTGTAATCCCAGTACTTTGGGAAGATGAGGCGGGGGGATTGCCTGAGCCCAGGAGTTTGAGACCAGCCTGGCTAATAAGGCAAAACCCCGTCTCTACTGAAAATATAAAAATTACCTGGGCGTGATGCTGCACGCCTGTAATCCTAGCGATTCGGGAAGCTGAGGCAGGAGAATCTCTTGAACCTGGGAGGCGGAGGTTGCCGTGAGCGAAGATCACACCATTGCACTCCAGCCTAGGCAAGAGTGAGACTCTGTCTCCAAAATAACCAAAAATTTTCCCCAAGTGTGAGGATTCGTGCCACACTTAATGACGTTCTCCTCTGCACTTTGCCACACTTAATGACGTACCCTCAACCTTCCCTCAGTAGCAGCATTCATTTATTCATTCAACAAATATTGATTGAGGATCAGCCAAGTGCCAGACCCTTTCTTAGGTGTCAGAGCTCCAGCATACATTACACAGATAAGGTCCCTGCCTCCACAAAGCTGGCAGTAGGTCAGCAAATAAATGGTCGGGATTTTGATAAGTGCTGTAAAGGAATAAAGACCTGTGAGGGGGGTGGAATGACTAGGGAGGGGCGAGGCTCTATTTAGGCAGGGCTGGAACAGACATGAGAGTGACGAGGAGGTTCCAGCCAGTTGCAGAGAGACAAGAAAGGCCTTCTGGGCAGGGGCACCCCCCGGTACAGAGTCCCGGAAGCTGAATAAGCTTCTCCTGCCAGACAGGCAAAAAGAAGTCCTTTTGGCAAGAGCACCAGGACAAGGGAGCGAGCCGTGGCAAGTGAGGTGGGAGGGAGGCCTTGGCGGCAGTGGTGGGAGCTTGGAAGCCATTGGGCCTTTTCAGAAGGGGACTGGTGTGGTGTGATGTTTGTTTTAGAAGGGCGTCTGCTGCTGGAGACTGGCCATGAGTCGTCCAGGCCGGTGACGTTAGTGGCTGAGGTGATGGGGGCAGCTGTAGAGATGGAGAGACATGAGCATCCCTGGTGCACAGTTTGGTGGTGGAACTGATTTGTGGATGATTTGTGTAAAACTGAGGTGAGGCCTCAGTTTTTGGCTTGATCAGTCACGTGAGTAGTGGAGTAGTGGTTGTTTTTCTACCTTTAAATTTCTTTTTTTTTTGGAGACAGAGTCTCACTCTGTCGCCCAGGCTGGAGTGCAATGGCATGATCTCGGCTCACTGCAACCTCCACCTCCCAGGTCCAAGTGATTCTCCTGCCTCAGCCTCCCGAGTAGCTGGGATTACAGGTGCTCACCACCAGGCCCGGCTAATTTTTTGTGGGTTTTATTAGAGATGGGGTTTTACCATGTTGGCCAGGATGGTCTCGATCTCCTGACCTCCTACCTCGGCCTCCCAAAGTGCTGGGATTACAGGTGTGAGCTACTACATCCAGCCCTTTATTTTTATTTTATTTTATTTTATTTTATTTTATTTTTGAGACAGGGTCTCACTCTGTCGCTTGGGCTGGAATGCAGTGGTACAATCATACCTCACTGTAGCCTTGACTTCCTGGGCTCAGGCAATCCTTCTGCCTCAGCCTCCCAAGTACCTAGGACTACAGGTGTGTACCACTATGCCTGGCTAATTTGTTCCTCTACTTATTGTAAATTTCTTTTTTGGTAGAGATGGGGCCTTGATATATTGCCAAGGTTGGCCTCACACTCCTGGCCTTAAGCAATCCTCCCGCCTCTGCCTCCCAAAGTGTTGGGATTACAGGCATGAGCCACTGCGCCTGGCCTGGTTATTTTTCATAACAATGGGTGACAGGGGTGTGACAGAGGTGGAGGAGAGAGCAAACAAGGGTCACGTTATGAACGTTTCTGATGCTATTAGCGGTCAGACATAAACGTAGAGGAGGAGATGGGATGTGAAGTCTTCAGTTCGAGGAAGAAATCAGCTAGAAATAAATAATTGAGAATCATTGCATGAGGACGATATTTGAAGCTGTGAGACAAAATGCAGTTCCCTGCACGGGGGCAAGGGCTGAGGCTAAACATTTAGAGACCAGTTGGAAGAGAAGCAAGTGCAAAGGAAATGGAGGAGAGTTCAGAGAGGTGGGAGGAAAGGAGCTCCTCAACTTAGACGAGAAAGCTTTGCAGTGAGAGTGATGGATTGCACCAAATGCAGCTGAGAGGTGAAGAATGAGGGCGGCTTAGCCATGCCGATTGCATTTGGCAGCAGGATAAAAAGACACTTTGGTGGAGAGGTGGCAACAGAAGTCAGTTGAGAGAGGGCCAGTGAGCCACTGGATTCTGTGAGTCCATGGATATGAAATGCTCAGCACAGGCAAATCCAGAGACAGAAAGGAGATTGGTGCTGGGGCTGGACAACGGGAGTGGGGAGGGACTGCTGAAAGGTACAAGGTAGAGGTTTCTTTTGGGGGATGGAAATGTTCTGGAATTAGGTAGTAGTGACGGTCATCCAACTTTGTGAATATACTAAAAATCATTGATGTCCCCGCATGGTGGCTCACACCTATAACTCCAGCACTTTGGGAAGCTGAGGCAGGATGTTTGCTTGAGCCCAGGAGTTCGAGACCAGCCTGAGCAACATGTTGAGAACTTGTCTCTGCAAAAACTAAAATAAATTAGCCAGACATGCTGGTGCACGCCTGTAATCCCAGCTACTCAGGAGGCTGAGGCAGGAGAATCACTTAAACCCAGGAGGCGGAGGTTGCAGGGAGGTTATCTGGTGCCACTAACCTCCACCTTCTGGGTTTAAGTGATTCTCCTGCCTCAGCCTCCTGAGTAGCTGGGATTACAGGCACGCATCCCCATGCTCGACTAATTTTTGTATTTTTAGTAGAGATGGGGTTTCATCACATTGGTCAGGCTGGTCTTGAACTCCTGATCTTGTGATCCACCTGCCTTGGCCTCTCAAAGTGCTGGGATTACAGGCCTGAGCCACTGCACCCCAGCCTAAGAAGGGCTTTTCAAAGAAAGTGGCAGTACGCATTGCAGGAGAGAGAGAGAGAGAGAGAGAGAGAGAGAGTGTGTGTGTGTGTGTGCGCGCGCACGCACGCATGTGCATGTGTGTAGAGGTCTGGGAGGCAGGGCTGCCTGAAGGATAGAGGGAATGGGATCCAGGCACGTAGAAGGGCTTGGTCTTTGGGGACAGATGCCATGAAGTGTACAGTGGGGATTTTAGGAGGGTGTGTGAGTGGCTTCAGGGGGAGAGAGAAGGTAAGAAACAAGTATATAGGAGAAAAGGAAATGAAATTACTAGGGACACACAGGAGTGCCAGGAAATGGGTGCCCATTAGAGGTTTGGGGTTGGGTTAGAATTCCAAGGGAAGCCTTGGTGAATGTCCTCCAGCAATGCGCAGCATTTCAGATCTAGGCCCTGTGGGAGGCAGAGGGTGGAGATGAGCTAGTTGGCTTTGCTGGGGTCGGGTGGAAGAGAATTGAGGGTATTTATAAGGCAGTGGTTTTGATATACAATGGACTCTGAGCAGCTGAGGGTTGGGAAATGCTTGCAGGCCTCACATCTGTCCCCAGGATTATTTGTTTTATTGTTTTAAATGACATTATGTGTGCTCCGTAAAACATGGGATTAGTGGTCAGTTTTCTAGAAAAGGAGGAGCTATCTTCATCCTCAGGGGCTCGAAGTACCCCTACCTACGTGATTGCTGCATAACTCTTATTTATCTATTTATTTTTTGCGATGGAATCTCACTGAATCCCGGGGTATGAGATTTTAGTGGCGCAATCTCACCTCACTATGACCTCCGCCTCCTGGATTCAAGTGATTCTCCTGCCTCAGCCTCCCGAGTAGCTGGAATTACAGGCGACCACCACCATGCCCAGCTAATTTTTGTATTTTTAGTAGAGATGGGGTTTCGCCATGTTGGCCAGGCTGGTCTCAAACTATTGGCCTCAAGTGATCCACCCACCTCGGCCTCCCAAAGTGCTTGGATTACAGGTGTGAGCCACCGCGCCCGGCCCCTCTTAGGATTTATATTAGGACCAATATCCTCAACTACTCCAGAGATAGATTGTATGCCTAATTTTAGTGCCAGAACATAGTAGCTGATTAATAAACATGGCGAACAAAACAATCTCAATGTTAGGCAAACCTTAGAAGCTGGCGATAACCATGTGGAAGTCTTCAGAAAATAAGTTTCCTTAGATTTCTAGTTTGAATACTACATGATTCTTTAAAGGTTAACGGTAGAGAGTGTTTCATGGTACAAAGTTTCAGCTGAGGAAGATGAAAACGTTTTAGAGATGGATAGTGGCAGGGGTTGCATAATGATGTGAATGTAGTTAATGCCACGGGGAAAATGGCTAATAGTAGTCTTCACTGTGGATTTTCTTTTTCCTTTTGGCCACTGTGGATTCTTTAAAGAGGGTGAAGTGGATCTATACCTACTGGTGTGGATTGAAATCCAAGATGTGTTAGGGGAAGAAAGTCAGGTGTAGAATAGTGTATATTCCTTTTAAGAAAATGAATGGTAGGCTGGGCGTGGTGGCTCACACCTGTAATCCCAGCGCTTTGGGAGGCTGAGGCAGGCGGATCACCTGAGGTCAGGAGTTCGAGATCAGCCTGGCCAACATGGAGAAACCCTGTCTTTACTGAAAATATAAAATTAGCCAGGTCTGGTGGAGCACGCCTGTAATCCCAGCACTTTGGGAGGCTGAGGCGGGCGGATCACCTGGATTCAAAAGTTCGAGATCAGCCTGGCCAACATGGAGAAACACCGTCTTTACTAAAAATACAAAATTAACCAGGTGTGGTGGCGCACGCCTGTAGTCCCAGCTACTCAGGAGGCTGAGGCAGGAGAATCGCTTGAACCTGGGAGGTAGAAGTTGCAGTGAGCCTAGATCGTGCCACTGCACTCCAGCCTGGGCAACGATAGCGAAACTCTGACTCAGAAAAAAAGAAAAAGAATGGTAATATACTTATGCACATATAGAAATACTTGTACCTGCACATCATCTCTAGGAGTGTCGCACAGTGGTTACCTGAGGGAGGGCCTGGGAGCCCAGGTGACAGGGACACCTATTGCTCACTGCATTTTCTTTCTTTTTCCTTCCCTCCATTCCCCTCTTCCCTTCTTTTCTTTTGAAACAGAGGTCTCACTCTGTCGCCCAGGCTGGAGTGCTGTAGCACAGTCACAAGTCAACCTCCTGGGCTCAAGCAATTCTCCCCTCTAAGCCTCCCAAGTAGCTGGAACTGTCGGCACGAGCCACCACGCCCAACCCTGTATTTTCATATTCATGACCATTGTATTATTATTTTCTCAAATATAAGAACCTTAAAATGTGAGTTGTGGCTCCTCAGCTTAAATTACTACTATTGAGTATATTCCTTAAAAATTATCCTTGTTGGGGCCGGGCGCGGTGGCTCAAGCCTGTAATCCCAGCACTTTGGGAGGCCGAGGCGGGTGGATCACGAGGTCAAGAGATCGAGACCATCCTGGTCAACATGGTGAAACCCCGTCTCTACTAAAAATACAAAAAATTAGCTGGGCATGGTGGCACGTGCCTGTAATCCCAGCTACTCAGGAGGCTGAGGCAGGAGAATTGCCTGAACCCAGGAGGCGGAGGTTGCGGTGAGCCGAGATCGCGCCATTGAACCCCAGCCTGGGTAACAAGAGCGAAACCCCGTCTCAAAAAAAAAAAAAAAAAAAAAAAAATTATCCTTGTTGGACCTGGTGGCGCACGCCTGGAGCCCCGGCTACTCAGGAGGCCAAGGCAGGAAGATCACTTGAGCCCAGCAGCTCAAGATCGGCCTGGGCAACATAGCAAGACCCTGTCTCAAAAAAGAAAAAAAGTTTGTCCTTGTTTTAAGAACCTAATTCTATACAAGCATTGGTCAGCTGAGTTTCAGAATTATATCTGTTTAATTTTATTCATTTTCTGGAGTCCTGCTCTGTCGCCCAGGCTGGAGTGCAGTGGTGCGATCTTGGCTTACTGCAACCTCCACCTCCTGGGTTCGAGTGATTCTTGTGCCTCAGCCTCCCAGGCAGCTGGGACTACAGACGTGCACCACCGCCTGTGGTTAACTTTTGTATTTTAGTAGAGACGGAGTTTCGCCATGTTGGCCAGGCTGGTCTCTAACTCCTCTCCTCTACTCGCTTCGGCCTCCCAAAGTGTTGGGATTACAGGCATGAGCCGCTGCACCCAGCTGAACTTCGTAGATATTATCAGCTATCTTGATGATGCCTGACACCCTTTTTCTTCCTTTTCTGCACGCAGCATAATAAGTGCGCCACGTATTCCGTGGGAATGCAGAAAACGTACTCCATGATCTGCTTAGCCATTGAGGATGACGACAAAACTGATAAAACCAAGAAAATCTCCAAGAAGCTTTCCTTCCTGAGCTGGGGCACCAATAAGAACAGACAGAAGTCAGCCAGCACCCTGTGCCTCCCGTCGGTCGGGGTTGCCCGGCCTCAGATCAAGAAGAAGCTGCCCTCCCCCTTCAGCCTTCTCAACTCAGACAGTTCTTTGTACTAACGTGAGGAAACAAACACGTTCGGGCCCCGAACATTTCTGGTGCTGACTCAGCCTTAAACGTTTGTGCCATAATGGAAAATATCTCTCTGTTCGCAAATCCTGTTTTACTCATAGTATAAACTCTCATTCGATGTGTTTTTATGAAGGAAAGTTACAAGAAACCTCTAGGAATTTGTGAAAAAAGAACTTTTTTGAGACATGTCACTATACTGCTGCAAGTTATTTATTATATATTGTAAATAGTCTAGTGTCGAAGATATGAAATATGGCTATTTTTAATGGTGACAGTTATGACTTTTGTCACTATTAGAGTTAAATTGGGGTTACCTATATTAGTACAATTTTTAGTTGTTTCTAGGTTAGGCTGATAGTCATTCCTTAAACTAGAATACAGATGACCCTGGAATTAAGGCAGGTCAAAGGACTATAATGATAGAATTCAATTTATGTCACTAAAAACTGTTCCAAAGTGCTGCTTTCTAATAGGAATTCATTAACCTAAAACAAGATGTTCCTTTTTTTTTTGAGATAGAGTCTTGCTCTGTCACCCAGGCTGGAGTGCATTGGCGCTATCTCAGCTTACTGCAACCTCCGCCTCCCAGGTTCAAGCGATTCTCCTGCCTCAGCCTCCTGAGTAGCTAGGACTACAGGCACGTGCCACCACACCTGGCTAATTTTTTGTATTTTTAGTAGAGACAGGGTTTCACCATGTTGGCCAGGATGGTCTCGATCTCCTGACCTCGTGATCTGCCCGCCTCAGCCTCCCAAAGTGCTGGGATGACAGGCATAGGCCACCACGCCCGGCCTAAGATGTTACTATTATATCAATGTAATATGAATGCTATTTCTAGAAAAAGTCTAATGCCAAATTTGTCTTGACTTATTACAGAAAAACAACCTAGGAGCAGCTTTTCTTCTAGTTTGAGGTCAGTTAAGAATTGCTAACACAGTGGCAGTGTTAGATGAAGATGCTATCTACAAGGTAGATAATATACTGTTTGATACTCAAAACATTTTTCATTTTTAAAGTAGAAGGTACATAATTAGATATTTTAAGTCTTGGGTAAAAAAGTAGTTTTACATTTTACAAGGTAAAGATGTAAGTGATTCAAGTTTAAAGTTCTATTTGACTTTTTTTGTTTTTGTTTTTGAGACGGTGTCTTGCTCTGTTGCCCAGGCTGGAGTGCAGTAGTGTGATCTTGGCTCACTGCAACCTCCACCCCTTGGGATCAAATGATTCTCCTGCCTTAGCTTCCTGAGTCACTGGGACTGCAGGTGCCCGCCACCATGCCTAGCTAATTTTTATATTTTTAGTAGAGGCGGGGTTTCACCGTGTTGGCCATGTTAGTCTCAAACTCCTGACCTCAAATGATCCACCCACCTCAGCCTCCCAAAGTGTTGGGATTACAGGCATGAGCCACTATGCCCAGCCCTCTATTTTACTTTTTTTTTTTGAGACAGAGTTTTGCTCTTGTTGCCCAGTCTGGAGTGCAATGGCAAGATCTTGGTTCACTGCAACTTCTGCCTCCGAGGTTCAAGTGATTCTCCTGCCTCAGCCTCCCAAGTAGCTGGGATTACAGGCATGCACCACCGCTTCCGGCTAATTTTGTATTTTTAGTAGAGACAGGGTTTCTCCATATTGGTCAGGCTTTCAAACTCCCGACCTCAGGTGATCCACCCGCCTCGGCCTCCCAAAGTGTTGGGATTACAGGTGTGAGCCACCGCCCCCAGCCCTATTTTACTTTTTAAAATAACATTCCTGCCGATTTTGATCTTGCTATGAGTTGGATGACACTGTGAATCTAATAAGGTTCACTGTTGACACAGTACATGTTACATAGCTAAAATATATAGTCTAATTTTAAGGATAACTATTTTCTGTTGTGCAATATCTTAAAGGAAGCAACCATCTTTGGGAAAGTGTATCTGCTGCTCTTAGGGCCATGTTTGTATAAATATTTAAATAAACATATTCATTTATCTGAGTGAATATTTAATATTTCCTTTTACTTTTATTTCACTTTCATTCCCTCCTCTTTCAAACGGTTTCTCTCCCTAATGCACAATTTTTTTTTTTTTTTTTTTTTTTTTTTTGAGACGGAGTCTCGCTTTGTCACCCCGGCTGGAGTGCAACGGCGTGGTCTCGGCTTACTGCAACCTCCACGTCCCAGGTTCAAGCGATTCTCCTGCCGCAGCCTCTCAAGTAGCTGGGACTGCAGGCGCGTGCCACTACACTTGGCTAACTTTTGTATTTTTAGTAGAGATGGCGTTTCACTGTGTTGGTCATGCTGGCCTCGAACTCCTGACCTTGTGATCCACCAGCCTTGGTTTCCCAAAGTCCTGGGCTTACAGACATGAGCCACTGTGCCTGGCCCACGATATTTTTTTTTTTGAGACAGTTTCACTCTTGTTGCCCAGGCTGGAGTACAATGACGCAACCTCGGCTCACCGCAACCTCCACCTCCCAGGTTCAAGTGATTCTCCTGCCTCAGCCTCGTGAGTAGCTGGGACTACAGGCGTCCACCACCATGCCCAGCTAATTTTGTACTTTTACACTTGATCTTAGCCAAAAGGCCAAGAAGCTATATTTTGTACTTTTAGTAGAGACGAGGTTTCTACATGCTGTTCAGTCTGGTCTTGAACTCCCAACCTCAGGTGATCTGCCTGCCTCGGCCTCCCAAAACGCTGGGATGACAGGCATGAGCCACTGAGTTCGGCCAATATTTTTAATGTTTTGATTTTTTAAAATTACTAACATTACACAAAGTAGAACTTAAAGAGCTTTCAGGTTATCTTAGTATTTTCTAAAACAGATGGCATCTTTGTGTTTATTTTTTGGTTTTTGTCTTTTTTTCAACACAGAGTTCTGCTTTGTTGTGCGGGCTGGAGTACAATGCCACAATCATGGCTCACAGCAGCTTCAACCTCCGAGGCTCAAGCCATCCTCCCACCACAGCCTCCCAAGTAGCTGGGACTATAGGCACGTGCTGCCACGTCTGGCTAATTTTTAAATTTTTTTGTAGAGACGGGGTCTTGCCATGTTGCCCAGGCTGATCTCGAAATCCTGGACTCAAGCAATCCTCCCAGCTCAGCCTCCCAAAGTGCTAGACTACAGACATGAGCCACTGCGCCTGTGTCTATTTTTTTTTGAGATGGCGTTTCGCTCGTTGCCCAAGCTGCAGTGCAATGGCGTCGTCTTGGCTCAATGCAACCTCTGACTCCAGAACAGCTGGGATTACAGGGGCGCACCACCATGCCTGGCTAATTTTTTGTATTTTTAGTAGAAACGGGGTTTCACCATGTTGGCCAGGCTGGTCTCAAACTCCTGACCTCGGGTGATCCACCCGCCTTGGCCTCCCAAAGTGCTGGGATAACAGGTGTGAGCCACCGTGCCCAGCTGCCTGTGTCTATGTTTTGAATGGGCAGTTTGTACCTTTTGATCCCCAGCCCCTGGTTCCCTCTCTGGATGCAGCTGCTGCCATCATTGTCTTGAGTCCTCCCACTGTTGGGTCTTACATTTACAAACACATCCTTTTCTGCCTCATGCACATTGAGTTTTCAACTTTAAAGGGAGCTTCTGACTCCATACTTTCTGCGTGCAGAAGACATACAAAGTGATTATAAACTGTGTAACTGCCAATAAAAGCGTGGGGAGAGGAACAAAGGAAAGAAAAAGAAGTATAGCGGAATTATTTATTTACATTGGAAGCAGCCTCTTGGAACAGGTATATGAAGGCCAGACCTGAAGAACTGCAGCTCTGACACCAGGAACAAGGGGCTTAGAATACACAGTGCTTCTTTGTACATTTGTTTCCTTTCACATCCACCACCACAGCTTTTTACTTTTTCTTTTTTTAATTTTAATTTTTTTTAAAGATAGCGTTTCACCATGATGGCCAGGCTGGTCTTGAACTCCTGACCTCAGGTGATCCACCCACCTTGGCCTCCCAAAGTGCTAGGTTTACAGGCGTGAGCCACCGCGCCCGGCCCCACCAAAGCTTTTTAGAAGGCATTTTCCATGACAGATGCAGGTCAAGGTCACACATTAAAATCAGCCCTAACTGGCTTTTTGCTGAGTGTGAGAGTCCCTGACTCTTCCCACCAGCCCCTTTAATCTTAGAATGAAGGCAGTGCTCTCTGTGGCCCACTAATTTCAAAAGCTGAACTCAGACACCAAGGCAGGATGACCCACAGGCTCCATTCAGGTCACCTCATCTTCCACTAGTTGCTGTGACAGGAAATCCTTTTTCTTTTCTTTTTTTAAACTTTTTGAGACAGGGTCTTGCTCTGCTACCCAGGCTGGAGTGCAGTAGCATGATCTCCACTCACTGCAACCTCCACCCCCCAAGTATAAGTGATTCTCATGCCTCAGCCTCCCAAGTAGCTGGGATTACCGGTGCCTGCCACCACACCTGGCTAATTTTTGTTATTTTTAGTAGAGACAGGGTTTCTCCATATCAGCCAGGCTGGTCTTGAACTCCTGACCTCAGGTGATCTGCCTGCTTCAGCCTCCCAAAGTGCTGAGATTACAGGCGTGAGCCACTGCGCCCAGCCCTTTTTCTTGGTTGGTTTTTTTCGTTTTTGTTTTTTTTTTGTTTTTGAGATGATGTTTTGTTCTTGTTGCCCAGGCTGGAATACAATGGTACAATCTGGACTCACTGCAACCTCTGCCTCCTGGGTTCAAGCGATTCTCCTGCCTTGGCCTCCCAAGGATTACAGGCATGTGCCGCCACGTCCGGCTAATTTTGGATTTTTAGTAGTGACGGGGTTTCTCCATGTTGGTCAGGCTGGTCTCGAACTCCTGACCTCAGGTGATCTACCCGTCTTGGCCTCCCAAAGTGCTGGGATTACAGGCGTGAGCTACCGTGCCAGGACCTTTTTCTTGTTTTTTTAAAGCTGAAAACAAGATCCTGATGTTTGTGGTCTGGGGAGACGACACCATGTCCCTGAGGCCAGCCCTCACCTGGGCTGTGTGAAGAAGGCATGGATCTGCTGTGCCACTGCTTGTCCGACCACCTGCTCCAGTTCCAGAATGGAAGCATTACTCAGTTTCTGGATGCTTGGAAACTTCTGGAGCAGAAGGGGAGCTTTAACTTTTCCAACTCCTGGGATCTGCTGCACAGTTCGAAGAAGGGATAGCTCAGACAGCAGCAGGGCCCGTTTCTTCCCTAGAAGAGGGTTCTTACTGGGCTCTTTGATTTGCTCTTGAACCTGAACCGCAAATGAAAGGAACAGCATGTGAGCACCCTCTGGAGAACTGGCCATTTTCTTAAAATTTGTTTTGTGGAAATTTAGTTTTTCCATTTTGTTCAGCTTGACTTCTGGGAACAAATGTTTTCATATGCCATGAATATGATTTCTCAGACATCAGTGAAATTATTAAAAGGTGAACCACACAAAGGAGTAAGACATTAATAATTTACAAACACGTGAGTTTTCAGAACGTTTAGAAAAACACACTGAGGAATTCCAACACTTTCTGATGGAACATTTCAGTTGTCCAGGATTAAAGGATGACTACACCTAAACCAGACCTACTTCATGCAAGCCCTGCAGGAAGCCTGCCTCAAAGGAGAAACCTGGTCTGCAGTCACCGGTGGCTATACAAAGGCAGACAATAGCATCGTATCAAGGAAAGTTAGGAACCGTGACGCAAAGGATATGGTCGAGAGGGATCTGTGAGCCGTTTGCGGCTGCTTGCATCTGCAATGTGCCTCTCAACTCCAGCTCCACGTCAGAGGGGGAGATTTAAACACACACACAATTGATGTTTGGGTCTTACCCCCATGCTGGGATTAGCAGTGTGAGCCTCTAAACTGATTTTTTTTTTTTTTGAGATGGAGTTTCACTCATTTTACCCAGGCTGGAGTGCAATGGCGCGATCTCGGCTCACCGCAACCTCCGCCTCCTGGGTTCAGGCAATTCTCCTGCCTCAGCCTCCTGAGTAGCTGGGATTACAGGCACTCACCACCATGCCCAGCTAATTTTTTGTATTTTTAGTAGAGACGGGGTTTCACCATGTTGACCAGGATGGTCTCGATCTCTTGACCTCGTGATCCACCCGCCTCGGCCTCCCAAAGTGCTGGGATTACAGGCTTGAGCCACCGTGCCCGGCCCTCTAAACTGATTTTAAAAATAAGTGTTGGCTGGGTGTGGTGGCCCAGCACTTTGGGAGGCTGAGGTGGGCGGATCACGTGAGTTCAAGAGTTCAAGACAAGCCTAGCCAACATGGTGAAACCCCGTCTCTACTAAAAATACAAAAATTATCTGGGCGTGGTGGCAGGCACCTGTAATCCCAGCTACTTGGGAGGCTGAGGCAGGAGAATCGCTTGAACCTGGCAGGCAGAGGTTGCAGTGAGCCAAGATTGCGCCGCTGCACTCCAACGGGTGTGCAGATCGGGCAACAGAGCAAGACCTTGCCTGAAAAAAAGAAAAAACTTGTACAAGGTGGTAATGCTTAACAAAAACACATGGGGATGAGATAAAGCAGCTTCTGGTTGACCTTTTCGAGATGGAGTTTCGCTCATCACCCAGGCTGGAGTGCAATGGTGCAATCTCCGCTTACTGCAACCTCTGTCTCCTGGGTTCACGTGATTCTCCTGTCTCAACCTCCTGAGTAGCTGGGATTGTAGATACCTGCCACCATGCCCAGCTCATTTTTGTATTTTCTTTATTTTTTTGAGACGGAGTCTCGCCCTGTTGCCCAGGCTGGAGTGCAATGGCATGATCTCAGCTCACTGCAACCTCCGCCACCTGGGTTCAAGTGATTCTCCTGTCTCAGCCTTCTGAGCAGCTGGGATTACAGGCGCCCGCCACCATGCCCGGCTAATTTTTGTATTTTTAGTAGAGACAGGGTTTCACCATGCTGGCCAGGCTGGTCTCGAACTCCTGACCTCAGGTGATCTGCCCTCCTCAGCCCCCTAAAGTGCTGGGATTACAGGCGTGAGCCACTGCACCCGGCAATTTTTGTATTTTTAGTAGAGACGGGGTTTTGCCACGTTGGCCAGGCTGGTCTCAAACATCTGGCCTCAAGTGATCTGCCCACCTTGGCCTCCCAAAGTGCTGGGATGACAAACGTGAACCACCGTGCCCAGGCTCTAGTTGACATTTTCACCAGCAAAAGGGCAGGATAATGAGTGATGGAGCTATCACAGCCTGGGAGTCTAAAATCAGGTCTCCAACTTGTGCACTTTGTGATATACTTCCCTAGAGTGTGGGTGGCAAAGAGGTTTTATAAACCAAGGCAGAGAATGACATAGAATGGATACATGGTTGCAGCTAGAGGGAGGGCAGCTGAGTGTGCATGAGGACAGGGCTACCCTGAAGGTGTAGGAATCGCTACTCACCAACTGGATGATGAGGCCGGATGCTTCCATCTGGCTGGCCACTGGAAGCAGCACCATTCCAAGGTCCAGCACAGTAAACTTCTGTAAGGCTGGGAAGTATTGTTCACTCATCCGGGTTTTTTCAACAACTACAATTCCTTGAATATTACTGGACTTGAAAGGAAAAAAAGACAGTAAATCATTTTGCAACCAAATAACTTTTTAGGTTAAGAGTGCTATCACTTCCTACCTGGCCTGGCCAATGACTTTAAATAAATGATACCAAGGGATGGAGGGAAGCGGGGTGCTGAAACAAATCAATGTTCAATTTCAGTTTCTTGAATCCAATAGTAACATTTTTTTTGTTTGTTTTTGGTTTTTGGTTTTTTTTTGAGATGGACTCTCACTCTGTCGCCCTGGCTGGAGTGCAGCGGCGGGATCTCGGCTCACTACAGCCTCTGCCTCCTAGGCTCAAGCGATTCTCCTGTCTCAGCCTCCTCAGTAGCTGGGATTACAGACGTGCACAACCATACCCAGCTAATTTCTGTATTTTTAGTAGAGACAGTGTTTCACCATGTTGGCCAGGCTGGTCTCAAACTTCTGACCTCAGGTGATCCACCTGCCTTAGCCTCCCAAAGTACTGGGATTACAAGCGTTAGCCACAGTGCCGAGCCTAATACTTACATTTCTAACCCGAACAAGCCTCTTTCTGTAGCCATTTCCTGCCACCAAATCAGCTTCAGTGACATAAAGAACGCAGCATCTCTTCGACAGATAAAAGTCTGGTGTTAAGCCATCCTCGAAAATGAGCTTTATTTTCCCTTAAAATACAGAGAAGAAAATGAGTTCCGTGAGCTTTGGATGAAAAGATGGCAATCAGCAAATATATATATTTTTTAATGTGTCAGAGGAGGCAAGAGCTGGCAGAGGACAGCCCACTGACCTTGCATATCCTGCACCAGCTGTGACCCGCGCCATTTCTCATTCGCCACAACATGCCCCAAAGGCACATGCACGGGGCCCGTGCCATCAGAGGGGTTCCTTTCCATGGGCAGTCTCTACCTAAGGAGGGAAAAGCCAGGTGGCACTTGAGCAGGCCCTCCCGCACACGGCCCTGCATTCAACTCCAAGCCGGGGCCTCTGGGGCAGGATCCCGTCTGCAGACTGAATTGTCAAAGAATGGTCAAATAAGATTCTCTTTTTAATTACTCATAAGAAAACACAAAGGTCTCAATGAAGGACAGGGTGGCTGGAGAGGGGGTGTGTGATGGTGGAGGTGGTAATGCCATTGGGTTCTAATAAGGGCAGAGGCACGATCAGAATCCTGGGCAGAGCATGGTAGCTCACGTCTGTAATCCCAACACTGGGCGAGGCTGAGGCGGGAGGATCGCTTGAGTCCAGGAGTTCGAGACCAGCTTGGGCAACACCGCGAAATCCCGTTTGCCAATTATCTGCGGCGAAATAAATTTTCTAAGAACCAGGAGATTCTTGTTCTGGTGTCCGCTTCCTTCATTTTCATCACGTGCCTAGACCCGACACCCCAGCTGGATCCGCACCGTGGCTCCTTAGTCTAGTCCTGGGCCCGGACCGAGGCGGTAGGGACCCCACCGTCCAAGTATTGGGTCCACATTACCGGCTGCAGCGCCACTTCCGGGTTCACGCCTTCGGTGCTCGCCCAGTCCTTCATCCAGCCCGCCCTCCGCCAACCGCAGCGCTGGATAGGCTGTGGTGTCAGAAATGAACGCGTATCCTGACCAATAAGAGAACGAATAGGGCGAACGTTTCCGCTCCGTCGGGGATTTGAACGGGAACCCGCTGGTTGCCAAGAACGACCGGTGTGGCAGTAACCTTACCTCTGATTGGTCACGGGCCGAGCTGAGCCAATGGCCGACGTGGTTGCTGCAAAGTCCATTGCAAAGAAAAAGCGTGCTGTGGGTCGGGCCTGCGGCGGACTTTTAGGGAGTGGTCCCTGGCGGTAGAGAGATCTGCTGATGAGTCCAGCCTCTGGTCTGGCCTCGCCGCGCCGCAAGGATGCTCCTGGGGTTTCGGAGAGGCCGCAGGAATCAGTTCGTAAGTAGTTGTTCGCCCGCCGCGCTCGGGGCTCTATGGGGCCGCGGGTTAAGTATAAAGGGTTGGGGCGGGTTTAGGGTTTGGCCTGAGATCCAGACAAGGTGGCGGCACAAGAGGAAAATGGTTTTCAGTTTAAGAAGCCTTGATTTTTCGTGTTCTAAACTTTTTTTTTGTTTTTTTTTTAAACAGGGTCTCGCTCTGTCGCCCAGGCTGGAGTACAGTGGCGCAGTCATAGCTCACTGCAGCCTCGAACTCCTGGGCTCAAGCGATTTTCCCACCTCAGCCTCCCGAGTAGCTGGGACTACAAGCGCGCGCCACCACGCCCGCCTAATTGTTCAATTTTTTTGTGGAGACGGGGATCTTGCTATGTTGCCCAACATGGCTCCTCAGCCTCCAAAAGCATTGCTATCACAGGCGTGAGCTACTACGTCTGCCCTTAACAATATCGTGCCCCAGAGTCGGCCACAGTTGAACGGAGTCACTCTGTCTCCCCTGTAGCATTCGTCCCAGTGCCTGGAGTTAACTCCTGGCCGACGTACCTGTTACATGGCTGGATATAGTCATTCTTCATTCCTCTCTCCGCCACCCACCATGTACACCCCATCAGCAAGTCCCATCGCATCTACCCACGACATACATCTGCCAGGTGTTCCCATCTCCCCCCCACATCCCGGCCTCCAGCATCTACCTGGACCGCTGCGGCAGATTCCACTGGTTTCTTTGCTTTCACTCTGGCCCTTTAACGAGGTTCATCCTCCACATAGCAGCCAAAGGGATTCTTGTGTTTATTTATTATTTAATTTATTTTTAGAGACAGGGTCTTGTCCTGATGCCCAGGCTGGAGTGCAGTGGCAAGATTATAGCTCAATGGGGCTTCAACCTCCTGGGCTCAGGTGATCCTCCTGCCTCAGCCTCCCCAGTAATTGGGACTACAGGTGTGCACCACCATGCTTAGATATTTTTTATTTATTTTGTTATTTGCCTCACGTTGCCAAGTCTCAATGCCTGGCTAATTTTTTAAATTCTTCTGTAGAGGCCAGGCAAGGTGGCTCACGCCTGTAATCCAACACTTTGGGAGGCTGAGGTGGACAGATCATTTGAGGTCAGGAGTTCAAGATCAGCCTGGCCAACACGGTGAAACCCCATCCTACTAAAAATACAAAAATTAGCAAGTGTGGTGGTGGGTACCTGTAATCCCAGCTACTCAGGAGATTGAGATGGGAGAATTACTTAAACCTGAGAGGCAGAGGTCGTAGTGAGCTGAGATTGTGTCACTGCACTCCAGCCTGGGTAACAAAGTGAGACTCTGTTTCAAAAAAAACATAAAAATAATTAGTGTGTGTGTGTGTGTTGGTAGAAATGGGGTCTCGCTATGCTGCCCAGGCTGGTCTTAAACCTTGGCTCGATCAATCCTCTCACCTTAGCCTCCAAGAGTGTTGGGATTACAGTGTGAGCCAGTGCACCTGGCCTGAGTTTTCATTCAAAGCAGCAAATATTAATGAGTGCCTGCTGTGTGCTGATACCCGAAGTTGATTAACAGCTTAGGGCCACATGGTCTGGAGGCTAGACAAGCCCATAAATAATTCTGTACCAAATGGTAAAACAAGAACTGCTGTTGACGTGTGTACCAGAAGGGCAGCGACGCCAACAGTTGAGTGGAGAGTTGGCCTGGGCCTGGCGGAAAGGAAGGAAAGAGTTCTGGGTACAGAACACAGCAAATACCAAGGCCTGAAAAAGAGCGAATTACTTGCTGTTTGGGAAATGGAAGGCAAGGCTGAGTACTGAAGTACACGGATTCTGCCCAGGAAGAGCAGGGGAAGCAGGAAATGAATTTGAGTCCTTGTGATGGCAGGGGCTGCACACTCCATGGAGGCAGTGGAAGTGCCGCCCCTTGCGAACTGCTGCAGACTCAAGCCTCCTTTTCTAGGGAGCAGGCAGGAGCCCCACCCTCCTGGCGGGGGCTACAGCCACCCGAACTGCAGTTGTGGATCCCAGCCTCCCATGCTCTTGGGGGAGCTGGGAACAGGCAGGATCTGTCCTCCCAGGTGCAGGTGTAGCTGCAGCTGTGGGGCCTGAAGCTGCAGGCAAGAACCAGGAACAGGTGGGAGCCCTGCCCCTTCCAAGTTGGTGGGTGGGAGCTCCCAGGTGCAGCTGCGGCTGCCCTCCCAGGCACAGGGCGGGGCGTCTCTGCAGCCTGCCTGTCGGGCATCCCAGGAAAGACAGTCCCTCCACCCCCCATCCTCGCAGGCTCAGGAGGGTCTGCTGCCACCGCCTGGCCTCTCTGCTCTGATCTTGGAGGGGGATTGGAGCCAAGCCCTGGGGCCATGAATGGCAGAGGAGGAAGGGGGCAGGGTCCCCAGCAAGGCCTCACCCTCAGGCTAGGGAGGGTCTAAAGGCTGGGGGCTGGACTGCCAGTCCCCTGGAGTAGAAACTCATGGAGCCTCTTCTGGGCCTGCCAGTGGCTGCCCGTGGACCAGTCAGCATGTTCTTCCTCTCCTTTGAGGTCCATAAAAACCCTGGGCTCAGCCAGAGCAGGGCAAAGGATGGCCAAAGGACAAAGAGGGCAGACAGATGAGGGGACGGGATGACCAGCTGCAGAGAGGAGAACCTTCTCTGCTGAGAGCTGCAGGGACCACCTGCCAGCAGAGAGGAGCTACCCTCTCTGCTGAGAGCTTTAGAGACCTGCAGAGACACTGGAATGGCTTTTGCCTGTGGAGAGCAGCCACCCTCTCCACAGCCTCCTCTCTGCTGAGGTCGACACTTGAACGCATGAGACGATCTGCCTACAGAGGGGAGCTACCCCCTCCTCTGAGCTGGTCTCAGGCTAAATAAAACTCTTCTTCACGCTTCTGAGGTCTGCGTACCTCATTCATTCTTCCTGGACACAGGACAAGAACTTGGGCAAAGGCACTGTGGCCACAGAGGTTCCAGCCAGAAAAATTGACACCCCAGAGATCCTGTAACACTTGGTAGGAACCAAGTTATATCAGCCCGAGTGTGCCATGCTGGACACGTGCCTGCTGTTGAGAGAGTGGGGCTGCCTCTGAGGGTTTTTCTGCCTGGTAGAGACATGATCGGCAAGGGGACCAGAGTTAGGAAATGACTTTGATGGTATGAGACGTGTTTAGTGTGCAATGGGGGATTCAGTCTTTCAAAGAACAAGAATAAATCTTAGGCAGCCCTTTTGGAGGACCCTACTGGACGCCAGCCCCTGGGATTCAAAGGTTAATGAAACCTTTTCTGGCCAGGCATGGCGATTCTCACCTGTAATCCCAGCACTTTGGGAGGCCGAGGCATGTGGATTGCCTGAGGCAGGAGTTCAAGACCACTCTGGCCAACATAGTGAAACCCTGTCTCTACCAAAATAGAAAATTTAGCTAGGCATGGTGGCATATGCCTGTAGTCCTAGCGACTTGGGAGGCTGAGGCACAAGAATAGCTTGAACCCAGGAGGTGGAGGTTGCAGTGAGCCGAGATCATGCCACCGCACTCCAGCCTGGGGAACAGACAAGACTCTGTCTCCAAAACAAGCAAACAAACAAAAACCCTTTCTTATCGTGCAGCAGGTGGTAGTGGGGGGAGTGGGGAGGAAACAGACATGGAGACTGTTGAATCCCTTGACAGTTGCAGGGTGGTGGGCCCCACTCAGAGAGGTAAACAGAGTGGGGGTATTGGGTAGAGGCTGCTTGGAGCATCTGCACCTGTGGGTGACTGTGCAAGTGGGGGGTAGGGACTGTAAGAGATGACTGGAAGGTCTGCCCATCCCTCACTCCTGAAAGATGCCCCCATGCTGTGCTACACTTCTCAGCCTTGTGTCTCTTGCCAACCACTCCCTAACTTTCCTGGGGCCACTGTCAGTGAGTGCTCCTCACTAGGCCCTGGGATCTCCTCCGTCTGCTCTGAAAGCCCTTCCCGTGGGAATTGTCCCCACCTCTCCACCCCCCCCCCCCCCCGCCCCACACACACTCGCAGATGCCTCTGTACTCCAGCAAAACAGAGAACCAACCATAAGAGCACTGCAACCAATGTCTTGCTCCATTCCTTTGTTCATGCTGTTCCCGCTTCCTGGAATGCTGTTCCATAATGTTTCCAAATGTGGGACCAGTGGGCATCTTTGAAAGCCCAGTCTAAATGCCTGTGTGCTTTTCTCAAAGGAAAGCATTTGACAGTTCCCAGGCTGGCCCCAGACCTGGAGGAGTGCTTCCCTGCCTGCGCCACCCCAGCACCTTGTGCCAATTACTGGCTCCAAACAGAAAATGTTAGTGTTTTTCTCCCACATCTCACTGATGCTCTTTTTATTTTTTTCATTTTTAGTGAGAGAGCCTTTCTCCCAGCTCATTCCATAATTCTATGTTCTGTAATAACTATTTGGTGTTTTTCCTCTCTACTCACCACCTCGGGGATGAGGACAAGGTGTCTTCATTGCTGTCATGGTGTTCTGCCTCTAGTAGGTGGGAATGAATGGTTCCTGCCAAGAAAATGATTGGACTAGACCCAGAAACTTCCCAGAGACTCCCAGTTACCTAAAGTGGGGTTCTCTGACTTTGATTGTGTGTAG